CTGTGTGAATTAACCGTATTTTTATATTTTGGCCTGGTAATAGGTACACCGTGAGAGTTTATTTTGGCCGGTAACAGTACACCACGCACACACACCCGTATGGAGGGACACTCCCTCGCTGCCTGAAGGAAGAAGTCGGGTAAGTAGAATGCATTTGTGATCACCTCACTCTCAGCCTCTAACAGGTTATCAATCTCCTAGTAGGGTCGTGAATTGTATTAGATCAATACGTCATATTGTATATTAGATCAATATATACTGCCACTCAGATCTTTGGGTGTCAGCATACTGCATACTGGATACTGCTTGGAAAGTTTGAAACTGTATTTCAGCCACCCAAATATCTGCTTGGAGATTAGTATTAGATTACATGTGAGATAGCGGCCATGGGAGCTTCGCGGTGCCTTCCTCTTGTTGTTGAGAGGCGACTACTAGTAGACAGACGTTGCTAATTTTGCTTTGGGATTGAAAAAACGGCTCCCTCCTAGACATCAGACTCAGAGTTTGACATCACAAAGCTAATTGCACGTTCCCTTATTTAAAAAGAGAAACAAAAATGTTGTGTGCAACCAAAATAATATTTTTACTTTCTAACATGTGCGATTCAGGTCACCTCACTAGTTGAATTTGTCTTCCTGTGGGGAAGAGCTGATAAACTGGATACTGCTTGGAAAGTTTGAAACTGTATTCCAGCCACCCAAATATCTGCTTGGAGATTAGTATTAGATTACATGTGAGATAGCGGCATTGGGAGCTCCGCGGTGCCTTCCTCTTGTGTCTCTTGTTGAGAGGCGGCGACAAAATGGGTCATCTGGTTTCCATCTTTTCTCTGTGTATCAAACATGTAATTTTCTAGAGGGGCCCTGGTAGATTTGTCTTAGCAGATAGAAGAAAGTGTTGACAAAACAACTTTCACTAAATTCGAAGTGTGGATCGTTTCGCACATCTCTGGATGAGACACCCGGTACTTAAAAAGCTGACTAGGCCGTAACCTTGTATCCCGGACTATATCAAAGGCCATAGGTCAGCTCTGGCATGATATACCAGAGACAGAGCCCCACACCCCCACCCTCCCCCACACACAGATATTTCTGGCAGTCCGTTAAATATATATATATATAGGTCAGGCCCCATTTATGTACAGTAAATATCCCCTTCAACATGCAGATGAGACTGTGAATTCAAGAAACAGTTTTCTCCGAGATAAATGTTAGGACTGTGTTTACGGTTGTCCCTACAGGACCTCCATTACTTCATGTCGCGTGTTTATCACTAACCTCTCCCCGTCACGGTTGAGTCGCAAAGATAACCCAATCCTCACTCCTGAACACTCAGTAGTTTTCCTCTTATCTCTGCCCTGCAATCTCCATACTAGTAGACATCATGGGGGTGTTTTATAGTCTCCAAGCAGATCCTACGGTGGCAAACTACAGATTCCATAGGCAATTGCTATCAGTTACTAAATTTAATCGAGCCTGTGAAACCCAAGCTCCGGGTACCCCACACTTCGAATTTAGTGAAAGTTGTTTTGTCAACACTTTCTTCTATCTGCTAAGACAAATCTACCAGGGCCCCTCTAGAAAATTACATGTTTGATACACAGAGAAAAGATGGAAACCAGATGACCCATTTTGTCGCCGCCTCTCAACAAGAGACACAAGAAGAAGGCAACCGCGGAGCTCCCAATGCCGCTATCTCACATGTAATCTAATACTAATCTCCAAGCAGATATTTGGGTGGCTGGAATACAGTTTCAAACTTTCCAAGCAGTATCCAGTTTATCAGCTCTCCCCCACAGGAAGACAAATTCAACTAGTGAGGTGACCTGAATCGCACATGTTAGAAAGTAAAAATATTATTTTGGTTGCACACAACATTTTTTTTTTCTTTTTAAATAAGGGAACGTGCTATTAGCTTTGTGATGTCAAACTCTGAGTCTGAAGTCTAGGAGGGAGCCGTTTTTTCAATCCCAAAGCAACGTCTGTCTACTAGTAGTCGCCTCTCAACAACAAGGGGAAGGCACCGCGAAACTCCCAAGGCCGCTATCTCACATGTAATCTAATACTCATCTCCAAGCAGATATTTGGGTGGCTGAAAATTATACAGTTTCAAACTTTCCAAGCAGTATCCAGTTTGCCTGCAGTATGCTGACACCCAAAGATCTGAGTGGCAGTATATATTGATCTAATATACAATATGACGTATTGATCTAATACAATTCACGACCCTACTAGGAGATTGATAACCTGTTAGAGGCTGAGAGTGAGGTGATCACAAATGCATTCTACTTACCCGACTTCTTCCTTCAGGCAGCGGGAGGGGTCCCTCCATACGTGTGTGTGTGCTTGGATACTACCACCGGCAGCAACCTCTCACGGTGTACCTATTACCAGGCCAAAATATAAAAATCGGTTATTCACACAGAAGAATCGAATGCCTACTACATGCAGTTCACACCCCCACCCCCTTGCAGGACACACTGAAATCTCATCCATGGATGCGCTACAACGGTCTGGTATTACGAAAAGGTTCTAACGGCGGAAGTGTACAAATCGTACATTATCATTATGTGAAAACGAGATATAACGTACCTCCTTCCCATTCTTGTAGAGTCTCTTCGGTATCCCGGCTACATAATTTGAGGTTTGACTCTTCATACAGTTTCACCCCAGACGCGTGGTTTTCCATGATGTCGAACTTAAGCCCCGTCGGTGTACGATAGTGAACAAAACTTGCCATGCACCCGAGTAGATAAAGGATTAGAAACATGGTAGTGACTGCGTGAGTTTTTATCTGGTGAAAACACGACCGTTACCAGTCAGCTCGGTACACAAATAAACAGCCACGGTCACTCAGTCAGGCGCTCTGGTCTCTGAGGGACCGGGGGAATGCTGTCGGCCCCTGGCAGGCCTGGCCCCTGGTTTGGTTTGAGAAGGTAATACGAGCGTCCCGTGCCCTTCCCCCAGCCTGGTCCAGACCTGGTCCGAATTAGTTCTGGAGTCAGAGCGTGAGGGTAACGGCTTCAATCAACGCTCTCGTCCGTTCAAGTTGTCAACTATTGTTGCTTTCTTGTTTCGTCGTACTTATTCGTGATTTTAGTGAAGATTTAATCGTCGTCAACGCGTTTTCGACCCTACATCAGCCTGAATATAGTTGTAGTGTACAATTCTGCGGAGAAAGCGAGGAGAAACGCAAGGGATCATGTCGGGTGCCCCGGAAGTTGTCATGATATCGGATACAGGACAGTGGTGGATTTGGAAGGAGGATGGAAAAGTTGCGTTGGTGAATGAGATTGACGGAGACGGTTTGGGAACCATCGAGGATGTTTGGAAGCAAAGACGTTTGGCTAAGGTGAGTAGGATATATACTTTCTATAATGCTATATTTATGAAATTTCCAACATGATTTTTTCATGGTGGTCGGGTGACTCGGGTGTTATCCTTCATACTGGAGTATACTGGTAGAAAATCATGTAGAGGTACATCAAGTTTCTTAAACTTTATACAGAACTGATTCATTTGCTGATAATGTACATACCCCGTCTATGCCAGGCTACAGGTAGGTAGCCTGCGGTTAGGTTTACCCTTTTTGTTTACGGCCGGTTTCCTTCGCGGCTGTCTCTACCATGTGGTAAACCGGTAGCCAGCGACAATTAGTCTGGGTTCCAGACTGTTTCCAGGGTCTCTGCAAGCCAGTTCCTCGGCTTCAGGGCCAAAACACGCAACATGTGAAGTAAATTAGGTATAGTAATCCGTACGTACGTCTGCGTGTGCACAATTTGAAATGTATAGGGTTTAAAATTTGGGTCATAATACATAATATTACTGGAGAACTTTAGCCGGGATGCTAGACTCTTCTA